CACCGACTGGTCCACAAAACATCACTCTGAGCTGCTTGATGCTCTTAGGTTGGAAATTTCTCACGTAATTGAGATTTTCTTTTGTCTTGCTGTAAATAGATTTGTTTGTAAAATTACCTTGTTTCACTAACACAGAACATCAATAACATATTATAGACTCATGATAAATTCACACTCACTCCCATGAAAATGTCCTCCAGTCTTTATCCAACAGTGGAGAGACCTGCTCTTTTGGGGCTTCTGGAAACATTTTAATCAAGCAAAATACATGTCACCCTCATGTGGAAAACATCTGTGCTGTGGTTCTGTTTAGGACATTTCCTCACTTCTGTCTGGTGTCTGTAAACATCAGGGTTGGTCTTCTTTACCAATCAGAAAATAACTTCAGATATGAAACAACTTGTTGCCAAACTTTTTCAGGATGAATTAAACCATGGTGGCTATCAATAAAGTTATTTTTGTAAATATACCGATATATAGAACCCTGATATTTTCATTTGAAACTATTTTGTGATGTTGAATTACTTGTCCAGTGCTTTACATGAAATCCTGTCTTTGTAAATAGCATTTCTATTTTTTTTTTTATTGCAGGCACATTTAATTCAGAATGAAAAGTTTTAACAAATTTCCTGCTCACTTCTTCTCTTTTCCTCACACAACACAGACCTTTTCCTTCTGCCATGACTTTACAAAGATTGATAGAATTAATTGTATACAATTCTGATGTCTTCAAATAGGCTTAAATAGACTCATTGTGGGGTTGTGGTTTGCAGAGGCCGGGTCCATCTGGAGTCTGCTCATCTGATATCAAATAGGTTTTTATAGTTATGACTTTTTCTTTAGAAAACAAAATAATCTTTTTTTTGGATCTACATTAGAATCAGGCTGCAGATATACCTAAAACAGATAATACTATACATGATTATTTTAAATATCCTAAGAAAAAACACTTTATATTCCAACAAAAATGCTTCTCACCGTCAGGTGGTTTGGAAGTGAACATTCCCATAACTGGAAAATAACAGAGAAAAACATGTAAAACCTTTTAAAATTAGATACAATAAAGAATCATTCATTCCTGTCAAATGAACAACATCAGGGTGGCTCAGCTGTACAAATCTGAATGTAACTTCATTTATGAAGCCATATTGAGAGAAACTTTGCAAATTGGACATTTTTTATGATTGATTCAACTATGGTGGCTATCCATTAAGTCATTTTATTTAATATACTGATACAAAGAACCCAAACTGATATTTTCAGTTTTCACCTTTATGAAAAGTAGTTTTTTCAGTCGGATTAGTTGTCAAGTGTATTATATGAAATCTTCTCTTTGAAATAAGTTTAATTTGAAATTGCAGGCACAATTCAGTTAAAAAAATTAAAAGCCCCACACTGACTCTTAAATAGACTCATTGTGGGGCTTTTGGTTTGCAGAGGCCAGGTCCATCTGGAGTCTGTACATCTGATATCAAATAGATTTGTATAATTATGACTTTTTCTTCAAGAACAACAAAATCCTTTTTGTTGGATCCAAATGAGAATTAGGCTATTAATTACTCCCAGTAATTACTTTAGTTCGCAGTAGAAATGGATCTTACCTGGTCTGGAAAAGAAACCTCCCATAGCTGCTGAAAGATAACAGAGAAAAATATGTAAAATTATTAAGAATATTTTTTTCCTGTCAAATGAACCCAACAGCTCTCCAGCAGATGTGGAAGTTTTCTGGTCTGTGGGTTCTGCTGGAGTTTAGTTCTGTTGGTCACATTTGAGTCAGGATGTCTGTGATGTGCTTTTGTGTTATTTTTAGCTTTGAAGAGTTTCTCTAGTTAAGGGGTTTTACTTCTTAACCTCCTCTGTCACCATCTGTAGCAATAATCTATGTTTCCTTCACTCAGGAACAGTTTTTTATTCTTCTCTGTCTGGTTTCTGTTTCAGTAAAGTTTAGTTTTCAGATTAGCTTCTTCTTTCTGTGATTTATGAATAAAAACATATCAGTTTTTAGTCTTTGTCGCTTCTCCCTGCATATTCTGCTGTTCAGGTCCTCTTTCTGTCTCCATGGACAGAAGCAGCTGTCAGAATAACAGAATTTAAATACAGCTTTAAGGTTTAGTAGTTATTAAGTAATTTACTCCTCATGACGCTGCCTTACATCCACAGATGTAGTTTCAGTCCAGATTAGACATGTATCATGAATCACAAACTGCAGACATTAAAAAAACAAAAACTCTTAAAGAAATTTAAAACATGATGCAGCTGTTAACCATCCAAAATGTGTCTCCCATGTATGAATCTCTTTATATCATCATAACAGTAAATGATGGAATAACCTTAGAATAAATAGAGTCCATACCTGTTCTGCTGTTTTCCTGCAACGAAGTGAACAAAAGAGGAAAATCTAAACCAAGAAAAATTCCACGGGGCGTGTCGCTTATCATGTGACTTACGTGAGAGCTGTTGTTTGTTGTTGTTACTGTACACATCTACAGTTTTGGTAAATTAATCCTAGAACTACGTAACATGATGTTTCTGGACCGGGAGGAAGCTGGAGAACCCACTCATAGACTGGGAGAACATTTCTGCCCATCCACAAAGAAAGAACCCCTGATAATGTAATTCTGCAGATTTTTGGGCAGATTTCTGTTTCCCAGCTGTGTGAAATGAACTCAGATAGAAAAACAGGGACACGCCCCATGTGTGAAAGAGAAAGTCAATTTCTCTCAGATAAATAGATTCAGGAGCAGCTTGTTTAAATAGCAAAAAACCTGTTGAGCAGAAACCTGCTAACACTTGAAGGTTATTAAATTCCAAATTCGACAAACTGCTTTGTTTCTCTGAAGTCATCTGACCTTAAAGTGGGAGGATCTCTGATGTCATGATGGTGTTCCTCCACCTTCCTGCTGTTTAACACTAAACCACCACACTAACTGACTGATGGATAACACAGGTAGGACTGTCTCTGTTTTACTATTTACAGAACGTACAATCATCAGTATAGGATTCATTCTATGAGATGTTCCCAGAAATGATTTGTGAGCTATTGTACAACTTTGAGCCATCAGCTTTTTGAGCTGTAACAGGAAAACAGGAAATAGACGAGTGGTGATACTAAAAGATACATGCAGGCAGCTATTTGGGGGAAAACTTAAAGATGCAGAGTTCCCTACTATATAGAGTAGGGTTTTGTCTAAAGTGTCAGTTAGATGTGGCTGTTGAATAAAACTGAATCTATCTTCTTTTAACTCTGCTGTTTAAGCCATCTTTTTAGTTATTTAAAATAACTTATTTGACTTATGTATGTATATTCTTGATGTCTCGGTTGGCGGTTATAACAAGGACTGGAGAATCCAAATGCAGGAACAGGACCTAACGGGCTAGATTTAGTTACACAAAGAACAAAATGTGCAGCCAGAGCTGCTATTCCACAGAAGTTTAACCCTCAAAACGAAGGGGAACTGAACTCAACCACAAAACATGGCAACGGAAGCACAACTAACACAGAGATGGCATACAGGCTCTAACAAAGAAAGAGTGGACTGGAGAAGCCTCAATATTGGAGGAGAGAGTGAGTAGTGGATACAGAACAGGTGTGACAGGGAGCAAAGCTGAAAGGAAATAAGTTGGTGAGAGGAAGACGAATGACAGTCAAGTTAGCAGAAACACAGCCAATCATAGGACGGAAACCAGAAGAAGACACAGAAAGACAAGAAAGAGATGGAACTTAAATAGACTTGGAACGAGGAAACAATGTCAAACATCCATCCATCTGTTTTCTATCCAGTGGTTGTGCTAACCATGACATGGTTCTTGGCTGACATGAATCAGCGATTCTTAATCGTTTTACATGTTTCTCTTTTAGTTTCCATCCGTTATGGGAGGGACAAATTCCAAACCTGAAGGTAAGATCCATTTCTGCTGAAAAACAAAAGCTGTTTACCTTCCTCTGTGAAACCTTTTATTTTTTAAACAAAACAAAAACAGCGCACAAACACAAAAACCCAGAACTTCTGAATTGCTGTTTAATGCACTGGTAATAATGCATGTAATAAATATGTATATTTGATTAATTTCACTTTATTTCACTTTATTATGTATCTTGTTCCACAATGCAGATGAATTGATGTCAAGTGCTACTTATTTTTCTGATTATAGGATAAGGATAAGGATAAGGGTGATACTTTAAAATCAGGGATCAGTAAAATACATCTTTATTTTATCTTATTTAGCCCAGTTAAGCGTAAGTGTACCCAAAAGTCCAACCAATCATTACACACCAACCAGCGGGTTAGAAGGTTGTTTCTATGAAAACCCGGAGCTCCTTGAAGCCGCTTCAGCAATGGAGGTGCGGAGTCTGGCCCACTCGGATTAAATGTGATAGGCACTCCTGCTCGGTGCCTCTCACCAGAGGAACTCTAGAATAGAGCAGTGTCTACCCCAACTGGAGAAGAAGACTGGTTCCAGAACCAGAGCTGAGCATCAAGGCGAGTCTGGTTATTTCTAGCTGGAACCTCTCAGCATCACACACCAACTCGGGCTCCATCCACCCCAGAGATGTGACGTTCCACATCCCAAATCCAGCCTCTATAGCCGACGATTGGTCGACCAAGGTCTCTGACTCAGCAGCCACAACTACAATATGGCATCCGACCCCCATGTGTCATTTTCAGGCTGAGCAAAGACAACACAAAGAGCTGCTGCACAGCTGGTGGGAATGGGAGTACAGGGGGATCTCTGTTTAAACCAGCTCTGCTCATTGGTTGGGACTCAGCAGGCCTCTGATTTAAGGTGTGCAGGACCTGAATGAGGATCTACTCCAACACACTGAGTGGAATAGAGACTTAAAACATGAGGGAACTTTAGTAAATGACACAAAGCTGATCTCCAGGTAGCAACCTGTTAGTCTGACCATCAGATATGTCTGCCTGTCTGGATGAAGCTGTTTGATCAGGAATCAGTCAGATCGGTTCATTCACCTGCTTTTCTTTTTCTTTCCTTCAGATAAAGAAACAGTTACTTACTCCAGAGTGTCTTATGGAGCTTCCTTTGGTGCTGATCAGAAGCTGTTGGATCAACTCAATAAATCTCCTAATTTCCATCTAAAAGAAGCAGATCTGAATGACTGTCAGATTATTTTTGTGTTCTGTATCATCAACACTCGCATAGAGTCAGATGTGGAGGCTGCCATGGAAAAAATCCCAGGTAATATGAGGACAAAACTTTATTTAAAGACATTTATATAATCATGTGATTTAGTTTGAGTAGAGGATTTAAATCTATAATCAAACCAAACAGTATGAAATATTCACATCCAACATTTAAAATGTTTTTGAAAAACTACTGAATAGCTTTACAGTGTTTAATGAATAGAATAAGAATAATATCTTCTAATCATCCTCACTGAGCCTTTACAGTTAATTTCTAACTTTCTTTTTCTCTGCTTTAATCTCAGAATCAGCTGGTGATAAACCTGTGATTCTTGTTGTGATGCACCACACCAGAGACATCAACTTTACAACAACACGGAAGAAATGGAAGGAAAAATATGAACGAGTTCAGCTTGATGTTGAAGTTCTCTTTCACAGTAGTGAAGAAGGCTTACTGAGATGTGAAAAGAACCAACAAGCTGTTGAAGAAATAAGCAGAAATGTTCAACAAATAAGAAATAAAGTAGAGCCGAAAAGAGGGAATGAGGAGAAAGAAAATGGAGGAGGAAAGGAGGAGAAGAAAGAGGAGGGAGGAGGAAAGGAGGAGACTAAAGAGGATGAAGGAAGAAAGGAGGAGAAAGAGGAGGGAGTAGGAAA